TAATAATTCTGTGAACCGAACCATTGACCTAAGTTCCTCTAATATTGTTTATGGTTTCAAATCTAGACAGCCGCTAGATCTCATACCTATGTGCTATAGGTATAGGATTTCTAAGTCTGCATCCACATTTGCATGAATTACATAAGAAAATTGCACGCAAAATTGAGTTGAGCAACATTAATTATAAGCTTCATGCTGACTTTAAACGAAGATTTAAAACTTTTGAGGTTGGTGACTCAGTGATGATGTGGATTCATCCGGAACGGTTCCAATAAGGAACTGTTAAGAAGTTACATGTTAAAAGTGCGAGGCCATTCAAAATAATCAAGTGAATCAATGACAATGCTTACGTGATGGATCTGCCTGCAGAATTGAGCATTAATCCCTCCTTTAACATAGAAGATCTGGTTGCCTATGACGGTCTGGAGTTTAACCCGCCAAATCCACTTCAATTTGAGCCTTTTGTGACCCCACCTTGTGAGGACCCAAGCTTACCTCCACTCCCAAATGTTTCCAACATATCTATAGCGGAGAAGGTTGACATGATTTTAAGTGATGATATTATTTCTACAAAAGGTGGTGGTCTAAAAAGGTATTTGATTAGGTGGAGAGGCAAGCCCGAGTTAGAGAACACCTGGATAGAGTGCAAGGAGCTTCAGCAGATCGATCCAGACGCACTAGAGTTCTACGAGAGCACTCAGAATGTGTAATCGACAGAGTTGAGCTTTTTCCCACCTCAGGAGAGTGATGAGGACATCTGGACATGGAAAGTTTATCATTGTGTGTCCTTAGATCTATGGTCACGAAGGCACTGCTCTACTTTTGATTTTCATATTTATTATTGATGTATTAGTTTTATTTATGGAAATTTTATTATGCTTTTCCAATTTTGCCCTTACTTAAGGGTTTAGGTATGTGTAAGCCCTTGGGCATAGTAGTACTTTGTATTTTCTCATTTTATGGGCTATTTAAAGCCTCCCTCCTCTTCTTTGAGGGGAATGATGAATATGAAATAAAATTTCCTGCATATTGTTCTCTTGCTGTGAGAGTTTGTGAGTCTTGGAGAAATCCCTAGGAGAGAGAAAACGGATCACCCACCAACCTTGGAAGCGTCCAGGTTCTTGGTTCTTCTTCCTTATCATTCTTTCGTTCCTTTTCCTTTTCCCTTCCTCCTCCATTAAGCCGCCAGCCTCCCCATCTAATCCCATCCCCATAGCCGCCGACCTTGTCCCTCCACCCCACCCAACCGCCTTCCATCAGCCTAGCCGAGGCCGCCGTCCTCCATTCCTCTTCCTTCCCTCCCACACGTCAACTCCATCAATTCTTGCCTTTTATATACTCCCAATTGTGGAAAGCCATAATTTCAAATTTCAAATCAATTTTGAAATTTGAATTATTTCTTAAAATAAAAATCTTTTTTAGGAAGGTTCCCTAAATCTCATCCAAATCAACTTCCAATTGGATATGACTTAATTTCTTTGGCTTCAATTAAGGATCCCATTTATGCAAGCATTAAAAACCCTATTCAAAATCCTCTCCCACTCTTGATGCCGTCAGCCCACCTATCCTCCCCTTTCCTAATGAATTCTCTCCATTAAAGCCTCCAATCAACTCTCAATTAAATCCCCCACATAACCGGCTCCTTCCCTCCACTCCCCAAATTCAAATTCTTCCCCAATGTCACCCCATTAATTCCTCCCCACTTTAGAAATTAATTCAATGCTTTCCCTCCTAATTCTCCCTTCCCCTCTACCTAGCCGCCACCCCCTTGGATCTCCCTAACCCTTAGTACAACTCTCTCCACCCTGTAGTTTCCCCACCTAGTCCTGAATAGCCCAAATCTCTGTCCAGAAATTCTGGACCGAGAGGAAGCTACCCGGAATCCCTTCTCAGCAATACTGCTGTCCAGACTAGACCCCACATGTTGTTCAATCCCTATTCAGGTGCTGTCCAGGGATTCTAACCGCCCTCCTTGCTGTCCAATTGTTTGGAGAAGGCTAAAACTGTTGCCCGAGGTTTTTCAGACGTTGAGGTGTGCTGTCCAAAGGTTCCTGTATCCACCAAATGCTATCCAAGCTTGTGAGAAGGTTGAATCTTAGCAAAGGGCGAACTCTTTCCTTCTCTCATACCTTCCTCGTTGATCCGTACTTGTGGTTTTGATTGATTCATTCAAAATCTTGTAACGCTCCGCTAAAGCTTAGTGTTTAGTAGGAATTGTGTGAGAGATCTTTCATAGCACTACTCTTGTTGTTAGATTAGGGATTTCTTGTTAAAACCTATCTCATATGCAACGTCAAGAGTAATTGTTTGTTATATGGTTTTTACGTTTCGTAAGTAACTTGGCCTAAGCTTGTGTTTACCGCTCTTTGTGTTTTATTTCATTGTTTAACTCACCATAAAGCTTTAATTAACTTGCTCTTAATCATCAAGCGTGCAAAATCCTTATCTAAGTCATAATTTCATATATATCCTGCATCAGTGTTATTTATCATAGTTGTTTTGCGGATTACGCTTCAAAATCCCTCACTTTTGAGGTTCCCGTTGAGTAGGTCACTGCCATCAAATTAAAATATAGGGAGAACATTCTTTAGATAACACTGTGGATTAAATTAGCTACAGGATTTTTGCAATAATTTGCAGCTAGTCGATGATACCATTGAGTAAACGGGGCAGTTGAGGCTAATGAGTCATTGTCCGTTGCACATCATCAGTTACAATCTAGCATATAGATTGGCCTCAAGACTTGTTCATTGGCTAGGTTTATAATGCAACTTATGGATATGTGGCATAGGCTAGATATGCCTTACAGGTATACAAAAATACATTACGAGCAGTTAGAGTTTATGAGGCGGTATATGCGTCGATGTTCGACTTTGGGAGCATCCTTCTTCATGGGCACTTGTGATTTAATTTTGGGACTTTGGAAGCAATACTTATTGTGTCAGCCTCGATGAGCTGAGGATTATGCTATGGGAGTTAAACTATGTTAGGACTACTGAGTTGTTGTCATCTTTTTGAGGAGTGTAGCCAATATCCAAAAGGATTTTATCGTCTTACTCATCCATTGCAAACAAGCATACTTATTCTACATATTATAAGTGTTTAACATGTATCTTATAATTAATATGATCAATAATAGGTTTATAATAGAAACTTGATTTGCAAAATAATATTTATCACAACTGAAATAATTTACATGAAAATAAATATCGCTACCATATTGATCATTTAGAATTTTAAAGAATTTATATAGCGCTAATCATGGCAGAACTATCAACCTCATATGATTATTTTTTTATGAACATTAATTGAGATATTTTTAAAATATGTATAGCAATAGGTTATTTTGAAAAATACAAATGGCAACTTATAAAATATCTAAAAAGTTATTACAAGCATCAATGATAAATACCTTAATTCGGAAGAGTATGTTTATTCTCAAATAAATTAAAAATTATTTATCTCAAAGTGAGCGATACAAAACTTAGTTTAATTGAGATCTCAACAAAGCACACCAGGTGGGAATTAACTCGAATGTCTCATATAATATGAATTCTCAATCAATTACACTTGCACAAATAGGCATTGAAAACTAATTGCTTGTTAATATAAATCCAACATAAGCAACATATGTTACATGACTATCAACTCGAATTAATTGTAATCATCTTAAAGAATAAACCTATCATTAAGAACATCAAATTACAGTTTCTCTAACTATAATATCAAAACACGTGGATAGTTTCTAGTGTCTCATTAATATTTATATTAACCTAAAACAACGGAAAAATAAATAATAATACAAGAATTAATCTCCTTTCACCAAATTGTGTGTAAGATGAAATAACAATGTATCAAGAATAATAAAGAGGAAGGAGGAGACAATGAATAAATATTGTTCATGGAAAAAAGAAGAGTTGCGGATGCCTCTCAATTGAAGAGGAAGATGTGGAGAAATGGCTTATTGTTGGTATCTTTTAGTTGAGGAGGAGATTCTCTATCATTAGTTGTTAGAGAGAGAAACAAAGAGGGAGAGAGCAAGGGGAAGATTTTGGTGGCAGTGGAGGAGGTAAAACCGGGTCAGAGTGTGAAGTCCTGCTTTAAGTAATGAGTAGAGATAGCTGGGTGTGTGTGATTCATGTTATGATTTGAGTAGAGGCGGCATTGTGCAGTTTGCATGAGGAAATCAGGCGATGCATGTATGAGATTTGGGTGAAAGGAGTGTTTGGGGTCTTTGTTTGGTTCAAGACCAGTTTGATCTACTTGGGTTCTATTTATTACACACAATCAAGATAACTTCATTGTGATTTGAAGTAAGATTCGAGCTCCGCTCAATAAAAAGAGTCCATGAATGATCCTAGCTTGTTCATAGATAGGCAAATTTGGTCGTTACTACCCCAAGGTTGCGTGACTTGTGCGAATCACGTGGGAGGGAGAAGCTAAAATCTTTTGCAAATCACTTGAACGTATTGATTGTATTAATTTTGTGAACCATATCCATTAAAAAGGGAATATAACAAAATAGAAGCTAAAATCTCTTACTTCCCTCCTGAAAACTGCAACCATTAATATGGCATTGGAAGATGTTTTGATGGTGTTTGTGAGTTGTAACTTCAGAAGGAGAGTGCAAAGGATTGTTAAATTTATTGTAATATAAAAAATAATTAAAGTGTCACTTCCAAAGTTAATGTAATATACGGTTGGTAGCACGCTTCTATCTGCCTTGAGTAATGCTCTCATTCGGCTTTTTTTGTGGGGCCAAGTGAAACAAGCAATGGAATGTTTTTCCAAGTTTCCAATAATTTCAGCTTTCACTATGTCTCCAATCATAGTATTGTACTGTTGGAAAACTTGCAATAACAGTGTGATTTAGTCATGTACTGAGAAACATAGCTTTATCACAAGACTACTAAAACTTGTCTTTTACCACTGTTTTATTAGAAGATGCTAATTAACAACGATAGCTTTTTCCTTACTAAAAAAATTGTTATCGATTGAAGGACCTGGTGAAGACTGAGTGTGAAAGATGGCACAAAATGGGGAAGAGTATAAAGTACGAGACTAGGAACAACAGACATGGATACAAGGCAGGTGCTCTAAAAGAAGGAATGAAGCACAGCTATGTGCAGAGTTGCGAGTTTGTTGCCATCTTCGATGCTGATTTCCAGCCTTCTTCTGACTTCCTGATGAGAGCCATGCCCTTCCTTATTCATAATCCAGACATTGGACTCGTTCAAGCTCGCTGGAGGTTTGGTAAGCTTCTAGGATTCATCTTCTGGGATTAAATTTTAACAAACATAAATATAACTAGAATAAACAGACTAAGTGATGGCGTAAGCAATGCTCTGATGATTAAACCTGAAAAATGATAGCAGCCACTATGAGGCCGTCATGACTTCTGCAAAGTCCAGCTTGTTTTAAAGAGGTTAAGTTATATTCACTTTCTTTTTCAATTATTGGTTGCATAAGGATTAGGTCAGAGCAACATTTAAGATTCATTGTTTTCTCCCGAAAAAAGGGAACTACAGAAGTTTTTAGATCCAGCAGAAACAAAAATGGCATGTATGACCGTACAAATTTTGTTGCTAATAAGTGTAGTTGTCGTCTTCTACTTCTTTCATCATTCATACTCCCAAGAATTTGTGGAAGCATAATAAGCAGCACTCACTAAATTAACAAGCGATATACAATCTTCTAAGAATAATAATTTAAAATTATCTTACTTTAAATTCTCTCATCATCAGAAGATCTAGTGATATTTATAATAATTGGAAAATAGTTTGTTGTATTTTTAATTTCAACATATACAAAATTTATGCAATCCTAGGAGAAATTCTAATAAGAATTATACAAAATTAGGGAAAAGAAATAACTACAAATAATTACCTTAGTCCCACGAAGTGATGAGTTAGCTGCATGGATCCCACAAGTCCATGAGGTTGCAACATCAAGGATGGAAGAGGGTGGAAATCAATCCCAGGAATTGTTGAGTTGGCAATAGCGATCCCACAGATCCATGGGGTGTAGTATCTAGGAAAGTGGAGGGGTGGAAGTCAGGGAGCTATTTTAACACTTTCTCTCAAGTGAATAAATAGATGTCATCCATTTCAAAATTGCCTGATAATTTTTAAAAGACTTCCTCTGATAATCATTTGGTAAGTATGTGATAAGTAGATAAGGCTTTCCAAAACACTTTGATAAGAGGTTTTTCTACTGTTCTGCATTTGGCTCTGTGTATGATTCAATAGTAAAATCTTCCCCTTTTTAAATAGATTTTTTTTTGTAGGGCTTCCCTCAAATATTGTAGAATTCTATACACTACCTTAAGGTGTGATCTTTAAAATTGTGAATGAATTAACTCGCAATGGGCAATGTTAAGTCTATCATGTGATAAGTAGAAAAGCCTTCTAAGGCTCTTTGATAAGTGATTTTTCTACTGTTGTGCATCCAGAGCATTTATATGTTTATGATTGAGTTTTATGAGGCTCTAGATAGGCCTGCATCCTAACTTACCTGAATCTTTGTTAGACATCAGCATATAAGATTAGATCAATATATTAGATGTGAAAAATGTGCTAACAACAATAGAGTCTACTAAAGAAGAAGAAAATCTCCAAAATTGTCAAAATTGGTAATATTGAAAAGATGGTCTACAAATTATTATATAGAAGTATATGTTAATTTGCAAGAATGTAAACTTTACGGAGTAGTTTTGAAATGAATAATATTCCTGGTTTTTTTTTATTTTTACTGTTCATTTATAACTTTTATTGTGGCTGGATAGTGAAAAGTAGTAAATCTAACAATTTTCTCTGACATGGTGGGCAGGCTAAGACTCCAAAAATTTCCCTTAAATGAGAGAGACACCAGCAGACTATCGAATTTTTCAATGAACAGTGGACTTAAATGAACAACAGGGGACTGAACTTGCAAATTATCGAACCGCAGGGGACTTGACTTGAACAAATTAGCAAGAAACCGAACATTAAATTGAAAAAATCCATAATCTTGATTAAAATACAAATGGTGAACAATAATCCTGACCATATAATTGAATATCAATGAATAATCCAAGGGGGAAATGACTAACAAAACCTTCAATACATATGAATGACGAACAATGAAGTTTAATTTACCTACAGCATTTGAATAATTACTAGCAAGTTTCAACAAGCAATACAAGATAATACATTAAACTATGTGAATAATAATGCATAACATGTAAGGAATGTGACATGTCTAGCAAAACAAGAAGGCCGTAAAGAAGATGGCCTCTTTTCTATCAGTACCAATTAACTAGTAGACAAATATGCTAACTCGCCTATAGATAACAATGCTGACTGCCGTCCTACAAGTATATATCAGAAGATTGTGATGAATACAACTCGCTCACAAACATCAATCAGCTACAAAGAAGTCATACACTTCCTGTAGGCAATAAAAGAAGACTTCTTATGCATATAGTAGACTGCTTGTCGATAAAAGTAGAAACAATTACAAGAAATAGTAAATGATCTATCACGTGCGCGACAGTTAGCATGCAAGTGAATATAGCAATCTGCCAATCAATATACGTGGGGAAATCAACAATGAATGCAGCTCACCTGGTAGTCAGCATTAGCTTGCAGATGAATACACCAACTCATCTGTGGACAATGGAACTTCTTGCAAGCACACACAACGCAACAAGTAATGAATGCGAACACCTGTTGCAACGACGAAAGATTTTATGTATGCGTAACACTGATAATCAACATGTAATGAATGCTACAGCTTCCTTGCAATCAACGTCAATCCACTTGTGTACGATACAATAGTTCCCTGTGAACGACGGCAGTCAACATGCTTGAAGAAGTTTATAGATGAATGCAAGCTCACATGCAAGAAATAACATTTCCTATAAGTGTATTCAAGAAGATCGTGGTGGATGTACAGGAAAGACATAAAACTCGTTTGCAAGCAGTGTTAATGAAATTAGCTTTATGCAATAGCCCTTATATGGATGATAGCAAGCAACAAGCAAGCAGCATAATGGAGCTTCAACAAACATGAACAAGAGGATTGTAGTAAGTGTAGCATATTGCCTACCATCAGAAATAGTGAATTCATGGTGAATACGAGCTTCTACGAGTAACCGTAGGAAGCTCATCATGCACGTAGCAGCTCGCTTATAGGTGGCACCTGGAGACCCATCATGCACACAATGCAACCTGTAAGAAAATACATAAGATCTTCATCCAATGCAGACACCTACAAGTCATTGTAAGAGACTCGTCATGACTCAACATGCTATTTATGGGCAAATGCAGACAATAAATGGAAGCTCCCATCATGCACATTATATGCCATCCATAAGCAACTGCAAGAAATTCGTTAATGCATGATAGTGTACCTGCCTAAAGTAACAAATGACCCGTAACATAACAAAAGATGTAGCATTCATCCCTGAGCAAAAGCAGGGAGTCTATAGTAAAAACTATGGACCATTGGTGAATTGAAATAATAAATTTGCGGAATTAGGCTATCACTCCAGATATCGGCCTACTTCCAAGCAACAGAAGATGAAGTGTGCTAAATTGCACTGCCTATACGTAATGAATTAAGTACAATGCTACACCACCAGATCTACAACACTTGTGAAAGCAAACAGAAGCCGTTTCTTAAGCTTGAAATAAAATTTGCACAAACTTTAGTGAAAATCACTTAGCGCAAATAATTATATATTTAAATATTTAAATACTTCCCTTTTATGCATTAAAATATGATTACCCTCATAGGCCTCGATAAGCGTGATGTATGCACATACGTGACATCTGAGGATGTTGCGCGGGTCAAAAAATTAACTTAAGTTCGAGCTTAATCCTTCTATGTGAATAGATAAGAGTCAACACGCCTCGAACCGTCAAACAAATATACGGTCGTATCGCCGATCGAGATATTTATTTTATGCGTTTATATTAGGCCCTCAAGGTCAAGAACAAGAAAAATCTATTAATAAAGGCATAAAACCGACGACGAACTCAATCATCTGTTGATAAATAGATAGAGTTAACAAGGTTCAGCCGAAAATTAAAAAAAAAAGCCCATAAATACCCTGATGATGATCATGTTGATAAAAAATCTGAACCGAAAGGGACCTCAAATATTTAAAAATGTCTCTTAAATTCTCAAATTAAAAAAATACTAGAACCTAAGATATTTAAAACAGAAATTAATCATAAAAAACTTAAAGCAAAATATCCATTCACCCTCCATAGTAGTTTTCCAATGTGAACAAATCTGAAAAGCACTTCAGTTCACAAAAAGCACATACCTGGTCGAAAATATCACTAGAATTCATTCTCAATATGTCTCTTGCTAGTAAAGACGTGATGCCACGACCCAACCCGATCGGAACGAATCCCATCGCGTTGAGTCGCGATGGATGAATCCAGGATCTAGCTTTGGAATTTATTTTCAGACTTTCTTCCAATACACAAATGAAAACAGAAACACAGAGCTACTACGAACTTCCAAATACACAGAAAACTCATCCATGATTTTCTTCTTCTATCATTCTTCAAAATAATCATATACATTACAGGACATGGCTTCAAACAAAAGATACAGAACAGAAAGTAAACCAGCCATGATTGTACAAAAATCAAAAGAGCAAAATACCTATGACTTTCAATCAGATCCTGAACGGCTAGTCCAAAACTTCCTTCCCTTTCATAGAACCTGAAAACCACGAAGATAACCACAGTGAGCTAACAGCTTAGCAAGACTACACTAGCCGATCTAAATTTTCAGATTCTCACATTCCAAAACAATTCATATAAATAATAAAATAGTTTATTCAGATAGCCGTATAAAAATTCAAATATTTATCAGAAATCCAGATATACAAACAGAATTCAGACAATCGTACAAAAATCAGATAATCAGATAGAATTCAAATAACATATATAGAACTGATAATCATACGAAATCAAATAACAGATACAGAAGAACCGAATCAAATTTCGTATCACATAATCATTCAAATCACATTTCAGATCACATTTTAAATCACATTTCAAATCACATATCCCTGACCCAGACAGAATCTCAAAGAATTCTGGCCCCTTATGCCTCCCTTCCTTGATACAGATAGAATCTCAAAGGATTCTGGCCCTTTATGCCTCCTTTTGTGCTTATAGCACTAGAACATATCAGATATACAGAATTATAAGATCAGAATTCATTTTCATATTCTCGGACCCAGACAGAAT